GTTAAAAAATGTATTACAAAACAATAATTCCGAAGGTGCTCTATGAATTAATCTATGACTTAACTTTTTCTCTAAGTTATGACGTTATCGATGACGTAAGTAAAAACCTTCGTGCTGTGCAACGAACTATGTATATGTTTGTTTGAAATTTCAGACATAAAAACCCGGGTAAAAACCTATTTTTCAAAAAATGGCAAATGTTGACGTAAGTACAGGTTGATCTATTATAAATGTCACCCCCTGCTAACTTTTTCATTTGACGTTTTTGACAGATGTGTCAAATACAAAAGTTTCAAGAAATTGTCAAAAGTTTTCAACTAAGTCAGTTTTAGGCATACAGGTTGCATCAAAAAAGTGAAGCAGTGTGAAGTTATATTTTTTCAAATGGAACATCCTGTTTATTGTGGGCTTATTTGTTAGTCCCTTTCAATCTGATTTCAACGATATACGGTTTGATATGTTTATCTCTTGGTTTATCTCCAATAGTTATAAGGAAAAACGCAAAAGTCCCTTCATAGATCTCTCATGTTATTTTTTTTAAGTATATATATATAATAATAATATATAATAATGCTTTATTGTCAAAAAAATTATAACATAATTTGTAGACAAAGCCTTAAAGTTAAAAATACATATTATATACATCTACATGTATACAAAGTCAAAATAAAATGATATAAACATAAACAAATATAACATGAACAAATATAAAAATGAACAAATCACCTATAAACTATGATCCAGTGTGTGGAACGCTCAAAATTAAGTCAGAAAAAAGTCATTTACTTTATATAAGGCTCTCTCTGATAAATAGGATTTTAGAGCTATGCGAAATTTAGGAAGAGATGCTATGGACTTGATGACTACTGGCAGATGATTGTGCATTTTTTTTGCGTTGTATAGAATGGAGCTCTTAATTAACTCGGAGGATGGAGTTGGCAGATAAAGATCATGCTCCGCGTTTCTAAGTGGATAGTTATGCAATGGCCTTTCTGAAATACTGGGTAGGTGTTTGCGGATAAGGCAGACTGATTCTAGTATGAAAAGGGACGGAAGTGTTAATATTTTAAATTTTTTGAAAAAATCTTGGCAATGAGCTCTATTTTTTAATTTTAGGGAATATCTAATAGCTCTCTTTTGTAATTTAAAAATACGGTCAAATTGAGTCGCACAGCACGAGCCCCAGAATGGAAGGGCGTATCGAAGATGTGATTCGAAAAGGGCAAAGTAGACTGTTCTAGAAGTTGACAAGTTGAGTTCCTTGGAAACTGATCTTATCGCAAAGCAAGCGGAACTTAATTTTTTTGATAAAGAATCGATGTGCGAATTCCATTTTAGGGATTTGTCTATAATAAGGCCCAAAAACTTTACGGAATCAACGACGTCAATAGTAGTTGTGTTATTAAGTACAATAGGTTGCATCGTACTTCTATATGATAGAACTTTTGTTTTCGCAGCGTTGAAGCAGAGGAAGTTAGAGTCGCACCATGTTTTAATAGCCAACAAGTCGATGGACATGGTTCTATGAAGAGCTACAATATCCGGGTTGCTCCAAGTGAAACTAGTATCATCAGCAAAAATACAGATTTTACCGCTGATGTCTAGACTAGCAATATCGTTGATAAACAGCAAAAATAATATTGGACCCAACACGGAACCCTGTGGAACTCCACATTCTATTGGCTTACATGAAGACATCGTCGTGTCAACCCTCACAAGCTGTTTTCTGTTGTTAAGATACGACTTGAACCATTCCAGAGGAGAGCCTCGAATTCCATAATGCTGCAATTTGTTAATTAGGATATTATGACTTACACAGTCGAATGCTTTAGAAAAATCACAGAAAATTGATGCTGTGGAGTGCAAATTGTTCAAGCTAGAGAAGACATTATTGAAGACAGAGAACATAGCATCAATAGTGCATTTGTTGGTTAAAAATCCAAATTGGTGGATAGTTAGTATATTATATTTATGCAGAAATGATAGAAGCCTTTTCTTAACCAATCTTTCAATGATTTTGGATAAAGTAGGAAGAAGTGCAATTGGACGATAGTTCGACTCTTGGTCCTTATCACCTCCCTTGTGCAGAGGAATAATTATAGCCGTCTTGAGGCAATCTGGGAACACTCCTTGTTGAAAAGATTTATTTATTAAAGCAGTGAGGAGATTTAATGTACCTACACTCCGGTAAATTGAAGAACATTTTTAAAGTTAGTCCATCAGTCCCAGATGACACTTTGTTTTTTATGTCTTTAATTGTGCTGAAAAGCTCTAGTGTTTCTACGGGTGTTAGGAAGAAACTGTGTAAATTCATATTGGTACTGGAAAGATATGAAAGCGGATCGCGAGAAGGAGCTATAGTGGTCATTAAATTTTTTGCCACATTTACAAAGTAGTTATTCAGGTTCTCAGGGGAAGTAGAGGTTATACTGGAAGAGATAGCCTTATTTCTCAAGTCGTTGACAATAGACCACGTTTCTTTGGCAATATTTTCAGTTCTAGCGAACCGGTTGTTATAATAGGTGTCTTTGGCGGCTTTTATAGTTTTATGATAAATTTTTCTATAGAGTTTAACGTAATTTTGAAAGAAGAGACTGTCTGAAAATTTTTTTAGGTGTGACAATGAGCGCATGTTCTTTGCCGATGTCCGCAAGCCTTTAGTAGTCCAGGGTTTATGTTGCTTATTTTTGATAGGCCTGAGGGGAAATGCTTTGAAAGCCAAACCAGATAATTTATTTGAAAATGTTGAAAATGCATTATTGATGTCATCAGAGAGGCAACCCCAGTCAATTGTTTGACATGAGCGCTTGAAATTCAGGAAATTTTTTTCCGAATAAATTCGGCGAAACTTACGTGGGGCAATCCTGCTATTGCTCTTTAGAGAAAAGTTTGTGAGTACTGCTTCATGATCTGAAAACCCTGAACTTAAGACAGTACAGTCAACAAAGCTTGGATCAAAAGATGACACGACGTAGTCGATAGTGCTAGATCTGGTTTTAGTTATTCGGGTTGGAGATTGAACATGCATGACCATACCAAAAGAGTCAAGTATAGACTGGAGAGAATCTTGAGCAGCACACACACTGGAAAAATCTATGTTAAAGTCGCCACATAAAATTAATTTACTCTTAAGAGGGAAAGACTCAAGCAAGCTTAGTAAGTTTTGAAAAAATGTAACCAAGTCAGCGTCCGGTGTTCTGTAAATACAAACAATGTAGAGGTCGTAGATATTGTTGTAGACTATAGAAAATTCGAATAATTTTTCAGATAATAAATTGTCGAACTTGGTTATCGCCGAAAAGTTGTTATTAGTGGACATTATTACAGTACCTCCATGAGATAGTATACTTCTAGTATACCTAGATACTGTAGTGTAGTTTTTGACAAACACAGGCTCGTCAATATTGAGCCAATGTTCTGTTATGGCAATAATTTCTGGAAAATGTAGGTGTTCTAATAATAAATATAATTCATCGGTTTTGTGCCTAATGGACTGAATATTGATGAGAAATACACTAAGCTTGCTATCGTTAATTGTTTCAGAGGGTGCTTGTTCCTCTATTCGCGTCAAGGTATCTAAAAATTTTTGTTATTTGGAGAACCACCAGAAAAGTACTTAGAATGACTCTCCCTAATTTTTTGAAGCTGTTGGATTTTTTCCGAAGAGAAAAACGATCTGAAGGCAGAAAGATCCGCTTCAACTTGAGCCGAACCGATGCCATAGGCGCTGTGGAAACGATAATACAGCTTGCGTAAGGAATCCACGTCACTCGGTAGGCCCTCTGATGCTAACACTAATTTAATGCTGGTGTTGGTGTAACCTTCAAAACACACATTGGGGGGCTGGTCGTGGAGATAGGCTAGGTAAAGCCTAAGAGTTTTTAAGATGGAAGGGTCTCTCAATCTAGCCAGTAGATAGCGTCCATTTGCTATATAAGTAATAATAATAACTTAGATATCTGGTTGTATTATAATATTTCACCCTGTATATTGATGAATAAATTTTGAACAATAAACTGTTTATAAAAAAAATTCTCTAAAGCTTAAATGGTATAATTTTTCTTTTTTCAATATTAAACCTTGAAAGGGGTTTTTATGTTTTTCCCTATAACTATTGAAGATAGACATATCAAACCATATATCGTTGAAATCAGGTTAAAACGGCCTAACAATTAAGCGTACAATATACAGGGTATTCCATTTAAAAAAATATAAGCTTTTTTTTTTATTTTTTTTTATTTATTTTTTAAATTTAGCTTCACATGGCTGCACTTTTTTGACGCACCCTGTATATCTGAAACTGACTTCGTTGAAAACTTTTGACAATTTCTTAAAACTTTTGTATTTGACACCTTTATCAAAAATGTCAAATGAAAAAGTTAGGAGCGGGTGACATTTATAATAGATCACCCTGTATAAACCCTCATGAAACTTACTTTTTTTCAAGTGTCTCATTTCCTTTCACAATTGCATTTGGAACTACTTAGAATGTTTCTTCTTCTTTCCTTCAATTTGTCATTTGTATCAGACGATAAAATTGATCTTTTTTTCATCTCCGTCCTTTTTTCTGACTCTGACTATTTAAATCATCACTTTTTTTTCTTTTCTCATAATAATGGCTGTATTTATCATATTGACATCAATATTTCATGTATAGTAATGGTATGGTTTCATTATTAGTTTTAGGAACTTCTTCCCTCGCTTTTTTCTCAGAAAACTTTTATATTCTCATGAGATTCACTTATCCAATACTCTAACAAAACATGGTGGCAAATAATGATTATTGTTGTAACCAACACATATATTTTTATTTTATCATATCTGGAAAATATTTATATAGTAGACATAAATTATAAATTTGTTATACAGATATAGAGGTATATTCTCAGGTTTATTCAGTTTCCAGAACCTTAAAAGCTCTCAAAAAAGAATAAAAAATTATACCCATAATAATATTTTGTTTGAAAATTACCACTAAAACCTCAAAATTGTTATTGCAGAATGAATTCTATGGGAAAATTGTAATTGGTCATCCAGGACAAACATTGAATGTAGCTTTTGACACTGCCTGGAGCTTGTCTTGGGTTTTATCATCCGAATGCAGTGGTAGTTTTAGCTTAACAAATATTGGATGCTGTAAGTGGAAATTAAATAGTTTATATAATTATATACAAATAATTTTATCTTATTTTAGTATTCCACAATACCTACAATCATAAGAGGTCGTCCGAATATAGACCTGATGGAAGAAAAATTGTTGTGCCAGATGGAAATTCTGAATTGAGTGGATATTTTTCTTTTGACAATATTTCAGTTAGTCCCTCCTTGAATTTTGTAATGTCCAATTTCACTCTTTTTTTTTTCTAGATTGCTCATTCCAATGTAACCGATTTTTCTTTTGTTGAAATGACCAAGGTGCCCTTCAATTTACTTTTCAGCAAAATAGATGGTGTTCTAGGACTGGGATTACAAAACGATGCCTACAAACCATTCTTTTATACACTACTGGACCAAGGAAAAATTAAGGAACCTATTTTCACCGTTTATCTAAACAGGTATAATACACGCTTTTTGTTCAAAAACAGTTTTTTAATTATAATTATTTTAATTTAGAGATAAACAATCTGATCATGGAGGCAACGTTATAATGGGATTTATTGAAATGAGACATGTACATTCAAGAAAAGGCCCTAACAATGAAACTATTTATGATCCTATTAAGTATATGCCAGTCAAGCCAGGATATCTTTGGCAGTTTGATCTAGATAGGTAAATAAATAATTACATTTATTTCAAATCTTACTATATATTCAAGAGATAAGTGACATGTTTATACAGGAATATCTCAATTCGTAAGGTCCTGAATTGGCTTACCATTTCATATTTTAAACTTTATCTCTGGAGAAATAATGCTTGTTAGTTTATGTGGAAAAGTAATAAAATATAATTAGGTATCCAGACCTGCAAATAATGCATTTCAATTTTTTTTACAACTAAAAATATACTGCACTTATGCCATCTCAGCTATTCCTACGTAATTTTATGTGTACCTATTCTCTTCATCATCTAGTTCTCCTGTAACTTTCAATGTAGACATACTCCTGCACATATAGTTCCCTGTTTAGTACCCAATTCATGGGAAAAAAACGCATGAGTCTGATATACTCCTTGCTGAATCAAATATTTCTCAAAAATTTAATTGATCTTTACCTAATTATCTACAAGACTTACTTACATGTTTTTGAGGGTTTTTATTGGACTAGTGCAATGTTTAAACTTAAAATATTACTCTATGCACTTGATGCTTTATTTCTATAGGTTTATTATTTGGTCTCAGGAGTTATTTCAATGCCCCGTTTTATATTTCTGTCACTTTCCAGTGTATACATTGCGAATGCATCAGGACCGATCATAAGATTCTGTACCAGTGGAAAATGCAATGCAATCACTGACACCAGCTCGAATAATATTTTAGGACCTCCAGCAGATATTGAAGCGATTCATGCCGCAATGGAAGCAAAACCCTTCTATTTGAATAGATCTACTGTAAGTGCTAAATTCTATAATCACAGGTAAAATGATGTTTTTGTTTGATTTAAGGTAAATTGTGATACCATTAACAAACTTCCTGTAATCAACTTTACAATCGGAGGACAAGATTTTATGTTGAAGGGCCGTGATTATACAGTAAAAGTAAGTACCTATAAGATATTGTCTTTATTGAAAGCTTTTCAATTAAATTCTATTTCAGTTGTCCTATTTATCGATCACAATCTGCCTGTCAGCCTTCGTTCCTCACGACTACACTGACTTTTGGGTTTTGGGTGGAGCCTTTTTGTCTGAATATTATACCATTTATAATGTACAAGACAAGAGGATTGGAATTGTTAAAGCAGCTTAAGATATGGAATATCGCTTTTGTTTACGCTTATTTGTAGTGTATAGAAATCTGTTTGCAAATACTGAATTTCTTAGTTTAAAGTTGCCATATTGTCTCATCTTTTAAGTAGAGATTCACTGTTTGCATGCAGCCCATTTTAGTAGGCATGCTTTTTAGTACTTGAGGTATTATATATTTTTAATTTTTCAACCTGTTTTATATAAAAATTAAATTTATCAACATTTAATAAAACCGATTCTTCATTTAATTACTGCTTTCTATTGTGAACATTTGAAAAAGGGTAATGATGATTTTGATTAATTTAGAGAGAATGAAAAACATGCATCAACAAAAAACTAAAGAAAAGATTAAAAACACTCAATCAAATTCTCTACAAATAAATAATTTCAATCCAGCTTCAATCATTTTGCAGCTGGGAATCTGCCAATTTAAATGTAATCAAGCTCAAAATTTATGAATAAAAAGCAATTGAAGAACCTGTAATAGACAAAAATTGAAATAAAATAAGGCGGAAAATGTCCAATTTTGAAGTCTGGAAACTCGTATAAGACGCCCTTTTTGCCCTTAAATTACTCAAAATCTGAATGGAACAATATATTAAAAACAATTTTCCCCAACTTGAATTTTGAATCTGGTATATTCTAGAGCCAAAATCAAGCATTTTTTCCTCTGGAAGAACTAACCTGAACTAAAAACATTGAAAAGCAATTTTTCCCCAATTTGATTTTTGCCCCTGGACATTGGAATTGGAGAACTCACTTTCAATAAGTAGGTAAGTATATAAAGTCTTGAGATTCCAGTGTCCAAAATGAAAAACACTAGACAACAAAACAGTAAAAACTATTACCATATTATGTGGTCCAGACTTTTTTGAAGTTCTTACCATGACAACATAATTCTGGTGTCTTTTCCAGCTTCTTTCCTCACAAATCTCGCAGATTTAGGATTAAACTCTTGGTTATTAGTGGCTGCCGTAACAAAAAGTTTATAATTTAAGTTTCTTGTTTTGGAAAACTTTTATTTTCAACTTACTTACCTTTATTAAGTTTACCGATTGTAACTTGAATAAGCCCAATTTTCACACCACCCTAGAGGTACGAGCTGTCGATGAGTTTTTTTTTCAGAGTGGTATATAGGTACCCGATAGACCTAGTCCACTCGAAATTACACTTGTATTACAGCCAAAACGGTCAACTATTCATTGATCCAACCTTCACTCGCCAGCTAGGAATGCACCACTGTAAACACTTACCATAAATAGTATATATTAGTGCGACAAAAGGGGTCCAGGACAACTATGGCATTAGGATCCCCCGGGGCTTTCCTGCCTTGAAGATTCAGACGAATCATGAACCGTTTTTTGGGAATTGATGCACATATGCAATTTCAGCTGGAAGAGAAATGTAATTATCAGCAACTAAATCCGTGCAGTCATGTCCACCATTTCCAGTCATTTGTGGCCATCTCCAGAGCGAGAACCAGTTTGCAAGAGACGCTGTCCAATGTCCAAAGTAATGATGACAAAACTGGAAAAGACGTTAGGACAAAATGGACATAGAAAAGAGAAACCTGGAATGTTAGATAAATGTATTATTATTATGCCTGAAAAACACAAAAATGTATTATTATTATTATTAACCACCGAAAGAAATCCATAAAGCCTCTGTTGATCCATTTGTGCCATATCCAGAGCCAAAACCAACTTACTTCCTGGTTCAATTTGGAAAAGCGATTCCTGGAAAACAACTTTATGTTAGTGAAAATTCAATGTAGAAATGTTAGAAATTACCTATTTCAGCTTCCAATGATGTCCTACCCTGAATAAAATAAAATATCCAACGGTTTCCAGAGCATCCTATCCTGGAATATCCAACGGTGTTCAGAGCACCCTACCCCGAAAAGCATAAAATCCTCATAAACATATCCTGAATTTAAACGTAATCAAGCTCAAAATTCATGAATAAAAAGCAATTCAAGAACCTGTAATAGACAAAAATTGAAATAAAATAAGGCGGAAAATTCTAAATTTCCAATTTTAAAATCTGGAAACTTGTGGAAAAGGCCCTTTTTGCCCTTAAATTATTCTGGACTTTCTTGAGGAAGCTCACCTAAAAAATAAAAATGACACAATTTTTATGGTTATCAATTAATGAGCTCTGTTACATTTCAATGTTTTTCTGGGAAACTACTGAAGGAAAAATTGTGAAACTTCCAGGAGGAAAAAAGGAAAGTCAGGAGCTCATCATACTGAAATTTGAAACTCATATCCAGTGAAAAATAACAAAATGGGAAATTAATACAAATCAACCTGCAAAATTCAAAGTAAGCAAAAATGCACCCTCTTGCACTTGCACACTGATTTTTTTATGGTAAACTACTGAAGGGAATATTATAAAACTTTCAGCAGAAAAAGAGGAAAGTTAGGAGTTCATCATACTAAAATTTCAAAATGAATATGCACCTCTCAAAAATCCGTCTAGCAATTTTCACAAGCAGTGATATTGATTAGGCTCAGATGACTTCTGGACTTTGTTTGCTTACAGAGGGAGGCTCACCTAAAAAAAATAACACAACGGCAGGAAAATAGTTCGTGGATTTGTAGTTTGATTACTCAAATCAATTAAAATGTGCTAATAACATGGAAAGAGCATTAAAAAAAACATCAAAGTTATTTATAAAACCTCAACATCAACAGAAGTTCAATTTACTTACTTATAGTGGACGACGCTCTGTATACTTACTTTACTTGTTTACGTGAATACCTGAGCCATAATCGAGGCAAAAATGAAAGTCAGCTCTATCTAATAAGTTATGTTTTTGTTGAATGTGAAGAAAATGCTCATATAAACATAAGGAACATGTCAACACAAAGTTTCACCTCGTGTTCCAAAGTGTCTATATTTTTTTGCTAGATAATTAACTTGGCTCCTGGACTATTATTAGACCTACTAATCAACTATTGACTGGCTTTGCAAGAGTGCATATCCTACACCTCCATGAGTGTCTCAAAAAAATTGAATACTTTCAAATTGCCTTCTTGAAAAATATAGCTACTACAACTGGATAGCTACATGTCTCTCTACCAATCAGCTATAGAGTATTTTTGTGTTTATAGGTATGTAACTTCATATTGAGTTCATTTTGGAAATAGCTGAAAATGTTAGTGGACTACCATTAGCAATTAGATACCCATAGTTTAGGTTAGTGCTAATTTGGGTAGTTGTGTTAGATTAGTTGGGTTATTACTAGTGGTAGTGGCTTGAAATTTGCGATAATTAGGACTTATTTTGAGACACTTTTAAGACATTGGAGTATTCTACACAAAAACATCTTTGGATGATTTCCAGTGACAGCTAACATTTGTAGCTATGGATTTAAAGTGGCTTAAACAACCATTCAATTGAAAACTGGACAGAAATCATTTTTCTAGGGACACTCCAGCATTCTGTTATCGTATCCACATCCAGAATTATTCTGGATCATTCATCTCTCACACAGAATTCATCCATACTTCCTCCTTTTTTAACGCACTTTTGGAAAGCCAAGTCAAAAAAATAAATAAATGATGAAAATAGGCGGGTAAGATTTCCTGGAAAACTTCTTTCTCTGAGATTGAAAGTTCTAACTCTTGGACCTCCCTGGATCCTCTATAAAATTTACTAATTGCCCAATAACTATTTAAGTAAATAAAAAAACATTTAATGAGAAAGTTCTGGATTGTTCCAGACTCAAAATTTGAAAATTTTATCAGAAAAATCAACAATTGCTCATTCAAAATTGAAGAAATCCAGAAATCCCAATAACCAAAAAATAATTGTTGATACTACTTACCAAAATCCAGTAGCCATTGGTACACTAGGCACACGACGCGATAATCGGAAAATGGCGGCCGAAAAATCTTAACTTGTGTGAGAAAAATCGATAATTCCCGAACGCGACTGTACTTTATCTAACGGCAATCGGTACTCGCCATAGTGAGTTAAGCAAAAAAACTAATTGCGTAGTAGAGTAGTACCCCGACGGCAAATGTAAATCCATTGTTTCTAGCTATATACAGGGCCGAATTAGTATCAATTTTTTTTTTAAAAGTTTATTTTAGATTTGTTCTAACAAAGCAGAAAACTGTACAAAGTAAAGCCTAGAATCCGAAAATCGTGGACAAAGTGACTTCAAAACCGTTGTTGGGACGATTTTGAAACAGACCTTGATTATTATAACTTTCAATTTTTGTCTATTCCAGACGCTAAGCTCTCTGAAATAATTCCGAGGTTATTAAATTATTGTTCAAAATGTCGCTGGAAAGTCTTCTGAATGGCTTATTGAAGTTCTAACGTATTCTAACTTGGATTGAAGAGTTCTGGAGCATTTTAGAAGTTTTTCAGTAACTTCTAAATTGTTCCGACAAATTTTTAAGTATTTTAGAGTCCTATCCTGTCCTCCAAAAGGTTCTAAATTGGTTCAATAGAGTTCTAAAAGGTTTCTAGCTCTAAATTGATTCCTAATTGTTCTTAAATAACTCTGAGGTTTCTCAATTGTTCTTCGATTATTTTTGAGTAAATTATTAATAACTAAAAATCATCGAAAAGTGTAATAAATTGTCTATAATACCTGTGCAAAATTGGGCTTTGTAGCTTGTAGAGTTTTAGAGACATTGAGCCTCTAAGTTGAAATATACATACATACATTTTGTCCAAAACTTCAAACTCGATTTTCTCAATAACCGTAAATGCTAGCGATTTCAACTAAATACCATCTTGTAGCCCTTAATATTATACAATTTCTGTTCCAGTATCGCTTTTGGTTATTGACATATTTGAGATTCAAGATTTCCAAATTAAAATCCAAAGGGGGTAGGTACCTACCCTTAAAAAAAACTGCAAAAAATTGAAAATTTCTATTTTTGGATTTTTCCTAATTTTGATTTTAGAAATTGATAAAGCGAGTCCAAATTAGTCAGAAACAACTCTAACATCAATTATATTTGGAAATTACAATGAGAAACGAAATCCAAAAGGAAATTTCATTTTTGGCTCTGGACATTTTTTGAAATCTTGACATGCTCATGAATAATTGCTTATATCTTCGATTATTTTTAAGCAAATTAATAATTACTATACATCATTGAAAGGAGCATTAAATTCTCTAAAAGCCCGTGCAAAATTGGTTTTTGTAGATTGTGAAGTTTCCAAGATATTGAACTTCAAAGTAGAAATGTAGTTAAAATTTTGTCCAAAACTTTAAACTCGA